TGAGAGAGCCGCCAAATTGTGCCCTGCAGCCAAGCTCAGAGAGAGGCTGTTTCTCTCTGGCCGCCTGTGAAATGTATGGATAGGATCTGAAATGATGACCAGGACAACCCCCGGGACTCATTCTGGACTGTGGGCTCTGGTGGATGGGACAGGGTGCTCTGCCCTCTGTAGATCCACGCTCTTCTTGGCTCCCTCAGGTGGCTGAGGGATGCCATGTAGCTGGGTCTGGGAGGTTCACATACTTGTGGGAGATTTTACTGGGGGCGGGGGGGATGCTTAAAAAGCCAAAATTCTTGATTCAAAATCTTTGAAGCACATGCAATCCCAGCGTATGCTGCTTGGTCTCAGATCAAATACAGCAACAGAAGACCTGCTTAGGCTCCCAAGTCCCTGCCTTCTGCCTAATGAAGAGAAGAAGAGGACATCGGCCTCATTCCTGACTCTGTTTCTCCCCGCCGCTCTGCTGCTGAGCCCTGACCCTGTGGCCAACAGAAGGGACAACCAAGAAGAATTAAACTGCTTGCTTGGGCACAGAAAGAGCCTCGCCTCATTCCCAGTACAGGCTGTCCACCATTTCTGAGTCCAGGCATGGATGATGTTCCCCTCCACCCACTCGCAGCCCACACTGCAAAAATGCTGTTTTCTGTCATGAACTCTTCTGGACAGTTGGTCTCCTGCATTTTATTTCAGACCAGCAAAATCCCCAGCTCTGGTGACTGCTGCTTCATGCGGGGCTGATGTGTTCTCAGCGGTCAGCTGCTTCCTTTATCTTTTTCTTCCGGTTGATCAAACGGTGGCCCATAAAGATGGTGGAATCCCAGAACGTCTCCTGGCCACCATGTTTCACCACCTCCTCTGTTCCACCCTTGCATCTCCCTTTTAGTTTACACCCAGGCTGGATGAGGCAGACTCCACTCTTTCCCACCCCAGGTCCGCTGTACCATGATAGTTCCCTTTGACTGGTCCCGTTTTCCAGGAGGAGGGTGCAGCTCTCTGTTGTCTGCCTTTTGCAGCAAGCCAGCCAGACGCAAAGCTCTTAGCCCTGACACAGGGGTCCTTGTAACAAGGGGTGCTGCTGCTCGGAACCCCGAGAAGCTGAGGGATCAAAATCATGGCTGCGGACTGTGGGTGCGCTGTCATCTTCCGAAGCCCTTTCTCAGGAGGTCGCATGGCTGAGACTGGTTGGCAGAGCGGGAGCTGGTCTCAGCACATGTGTTTGCTCTGTAAACTTTATAGCTGGGGTCAGGTTAGGCAGGCAGAAAGCCCTCTCCCCAATTGCACTTTCCCAGGGAAAATAAAAAGTCGTCTCAACCGAAAAACACTTAGAGGCCAAGGGCTACTGATTCAGAAGCACTGGGAAGCAAGGGCATCTGAAAACCCGGTTTTATGACCCCTGTCATAACAAAAACATTCTTAGACCCTTTTGTTCCACTCAAAAAGGCCACTGTATTCTCCCCCATTGCTTCACTGTTCTGACTTCATTAGCACACCCATGCTGTAACCCCATTAAATATTTGCTGTATTTTAAATGTGTATTGCAGTTTGCATCAAACTGTATAGAAGGGCTGTGTCCTTGTCTCGTGCCTCTGGTGGTGCAATAGGCCAATTTATGCCTCAGTGGGATTGTGTGCTGGTCTCTGGTCCTAAATAAACTCCTGGAAATTTGGCTACCAAGTTAAATTATGGAAGTGTTCTTGATGTTCCCCTTCATGGATCTTGATGTTCAGGCTGCCTCTTATTTGGCCATATTTGGGTTATGCAAATGAAGATTAAATTTTCCTCAGTGTAGCTGAACCCGCAGGAACTGATGTTTTTAATGGCATGCAACTGATCAAGAAGAGAAGAAGTATGTCACAGTCAATATTGCACACCAAGAAACAAAAAAGTAGACTTAAGGCTCCCTCTTTTATTGGTGCAAAACCAGCGCATGGATAAGAGAGGTCAGCTCATCTTCCAGAACAGCTGGGAGGAGGAGGAGGAAGAGGAGGAGGAGGAGGAGGAGGAGGAGGAGGAAATGGCCCTACTCTTCTGACGTGGGCAAAGCCCCTATTGTAGCCTGGCTCTGGACTGTGTCCCCCTTCCTCAAGAGGCCCTACCCTGAAAGCCCCAGACTGAACCCGTGGCTATTCCGTGCTCTGGGCAAGTAAACTCCTTCAACTTGGTTTTTGCTTATGGCCTTTCTACACACATTGCTGCAGGAAACGGCAGGAAGTGTAGAGCTGCTGTCTCACTCCACGCTCGCCACAGGCTGACATGATTAGGAAGGCACTTGTGGGGACTGACATCTGGCCTACAGATCAGGGTGGGTGGATTACTTGCTGTTCAGAATTTCTCGGGTCAGCAGCAAATGGATATTCTTGAAGTACCAGCTTTTCCTTACAGTGAGTTTATGCTCTGCCTCACAAAAGTGGCTTTCAACTTGCAGAGCTCTTTTGGGAGCTCTGGTTGTCTTCTCTGTAAGTCATGTCAGCTTAAAATCCCAGTTCCCTATTTGGCCTCCAGGCACTCCTCTGGGAAAGTGAGCCCATTCTGGGGGTGCTGAGGCACAAGGTGACTTAGAATTAGGGTGAGGCTCTGTGAGCCTTTTGGCTGCGTAGGAAGCGTTTCTGAGCTGAGATGTGCTGCTTGAAGGATTGCACGCCGTGGTCCCAGCTCCTTCAAGATGCCTGGCAGAAGCTCCCCAGAGCAATGATGGAGCAGGCTGAGAACAGCCAACGTTACTTCACTTTAGTCTGGATTCCCGAGTTCAGCCAGAAAGGGTTGATCAGGCCAGGAGTTTCTGCTCAACAGCCTGCAGGGAAGACATTGCGCAGGGATAATATGCAGATTATTTCCCTATTCCCAGCTTGCAAAAGGCATCTGTAGAGATTTCTGAGGCAGTGCAAAACAGCGGCTGGAAGAGGCTGGTGCATCTAGGGCTGGTCATTGGATGGAGTCTGTCTTGGTGTCTAAACTGACTAGAGAGGCACCTCTTCTATGCAAAACACAGGAACAGCAGTTATCAGGAACTCTTCCTGTAAGGCATGCTGGTGAGCAATTCCTGCTTTCTGCTGGGAAGCCAAGATGATGTCTCTAAATCAGGGGCTCCGCAGGACAAGCTTGGGCGAGGAGGGGTGGCTGAAGTTTCATTTCAGAGACCTTTCAGCTATCAGTGCAAGTCAGGTTCCACGTCTGTCCCATTTAGACTTTCCTTGAGGTCCTGAGTGGGGTGGAAGCAAAGGGTGGGATGATTTAGTTGGTGCCAGCCTCCCACCCTGGGTTCCTGGAAAATGCTTGGATGCTTCTATAGGGACCAGCATGGCCTGCCAGGTGGCCCGAGCCTTGCTTTTGATTTGACAATGGTTAATTCAACAGTCACCTAACTACTAATTGACAGTATTTATTTATTTATTATTTTTACCAGTTTTTCTAACCCACCCCAATCCCAGAGGACTTCTAAATTCAGACTCTTCCTTGAAAAGAATTGTAATCTCAGCTGATTCTGCCAGTCCTGTCTCTCGGAAGAGAGCTGCATGGCATCAATCCTCCAGAGTCCCAGTAGGGTAGGCTGAGCAACTTCCTGGCAAGTTCGACAAAAAGATCTTATCCCTTGGTCATTGTGTCCCCAAACTGGAGTGTGGGAACACATTACGGGAAATCCACTGGAGTAGAGCCTGGGACTACTGAAATGTGCTGTACATGGGGCTGCCCTTGAAGACCACTTTAACTGGTCCAGAATGCAACACCTGGTTGTTGGCTGTCATACACGAACATGAGCCTGTGACACCAGTACTCTGGGCGTTGCACAGGCATCTCAGTGTCATTTTTAACCTTTAAAGGTTGGGCACTGAGATCCTCGCAGAACTGGCTTCTCCAGCCAATTCTGACCCACTTGACTTATGCACCCAGTAGAATCTGCTACAGGTTTCCCACCTCTGCATAATGAGGGGGGCAGAAGCACATAGGTGCTGCTTTTCTGTTGGTGCAACTGCCCTTTGGATGAACAGAGTGCTTTGCAAATGGTTTTTCCACTGAAAATCTTCAGTGGGGAAAGGGGCAGTAGCTGGTAGGGAAACTCTGCTCTTCAGCCACGGAAGGAAAGCCTGTCTCACCCCTTGCAGGATCTGGATACCCCAAAGGACTTGCGCATGTAGTTCTGCATCCCAGGAGACACAGCGCCAGAGCGGAAGCAGGCGGGCTTAGGAGGCGGGTGGGAAGAGACAGAATGGGGGCTAAGAGAATGGTTTGCTTCAGAGGGTTAAAATAACAAAGAGTGTTCAGTTTTAGCTTCTTCTGGAGCCTGTGTCAGTACCCTCAAAAAAAGAGCCCAACCTCACCTGAAAGCCCACTTTGGAATAGACTGTAGGATCACAAAGTTTCAGTGTATCTAGAAATATGTCCCCGTGAGAGGCTGTTGTGGCTTTTCTTGTGCAGCAGTTAAGATACTTTCTGCAGAATCCTAGAATGTTAATTGTTTAAATTTCCCATAGCTGAAATGGTTGAGAAAGGCCAGCCTCAGCACATGAGGCCACGTGTGCGTTTCAAGCCTGCCCCGAAGGTCTCTCTCATCCCAGCTTTGCTCTGTAGTTGGTCTCCCTGAGTCCTGATCTGGAGCCCTGACTAGGCCAGCGGCAAAGAGCGTGGATCTGCTCCCAGCCAGGAGAGGAGAGGCACAGAGCCCCACAGCCTCTTCCAGCGGGATGGAGCAGAGTCACCGTCAAGGGATGCAGGACGGGCAAAAGCAGGAGCCCTCAACCCAGCGGAAGGAAGGAAGGAAGGAAGGAAGGAAGGAAGGAAGGAAGGAAGGAAGGAAG